AGATTTCAATTCAATAAAAGAGAAATTTTAATTTAGACTCCAAAGACTTCTTTAGATATCTTCAGCTCCGACAACATTTCTATCAAAACATTAAAAAAGACACTGATGGGGATACCAATAAGAGTGCTCTGGTTAAATTATTCTCCTCTGCGTATATGGCTGAACCAATGTCAAAAACAATAACTAAATTATATAAATCACTGATGGACCTACAAGGGGATTCATCTCTGTACATTAAAGAAAGATGGGAGAAAGAAAGTGGCATTATCATTTCAAATGAGGATTGGCTAAATATATGTAAATTACAATGGGCCACTTCCCGTTCTTCATATTGGAGAGAATTTTGCTGGAGAAATATTATTCGATTTTTCCTTAGTCCTAAACAGAAAATGTCATTTCATGGAAACTCAAATTGTTGGAGGCATTGCGGCTCACAGGATGCTAATCATTTCCACATATTTTGGGGATGCCCTAACATTAGAAGTTTTTGGAAAGAGATACATAGTACTTTAGAATATATCTTAAATTTTTCAATTGATTTCAGCTTTGAGATACTTTACCTAGGTATGCTTTCAATGGATTCCTTAGATAGAAAAAGCAAATATATGTATAGAATTATCCTTGCTTCAAGTAAGAAAGCCATCACTAGATGCTGGTACAAACCTAGTCCACCATAAATACAATTTGTATTTACGAATTTGAATATATACGATTTGATAGATATTTTGAGAAATATATTCATTATGGAAAAAATAACATACAATGTACACAACCAAACAGATATATTTGTCGACTTGTGGTTCAAATGGATTGAATACATTACTCCCATTCAACCAAATGTTTTTCTTTTATAGATTTTTAAGACTTATTTTTACTGGTTATATTGCCCCTATATATGTGTATGTATATATGTATGTATACATACAAAGTACAGATTGTTAAGGCAACATCATTTCAATAGATTGGCATTTGAGATGTACATGGTTTGAATCAAGGGTGAAGTGGTAAGGAAAATTGAGCAGCAAGGATAATAATCTCCTTTTTGAATGTAGTGATTGGTGTATTGTTGTACACATGTGACATCAGTGCAAAGTAGAATGTGAGTAAAAGATCGGCAATAGACCTAAGGGGATATTCAAGAACTTGATTGTGGATGTTGTGAAATGATAAAATTAGCTTAGGGCAAGAGATACAAGCTTTTGGGCATGGCAGTTGTGGTAGATGAGTGAAGGTAATTCCATCAGCAGAGCTGGGAAGAAGAAACAGTTACAATATTTAAGATAAGAGAAGTAAGTCTCCTATTTGGAATACCTTCAGAAATAAGTTTAATGTGTCTGCATTTAAAAATAAATTAGAGTAATGAAAGTCAATTAAAGTGAATAAAGGTTAATAAGTAGACAAATAAGTGGATATGTGATTCAGTGAATAGATAAGTAAATGTTTTGATAAAGTATTGGAAATAAAAAAAAGAGCAATTACACATAATTGTAAGGAATGATTGAAAGAGCTGAAGATGATCCCTCAAGGCCTAGTTTAAATATGTTAAAATAATAAACTTGACTGGATTGATTTGTTACCTTTTGCATTAATAAGTGATTGCATGGAAACTGACAGAAACAAGCAGCTAACACTGTGTAAGAGTTGAAATATTGCAAACATTCTGATATCTTTGACAATTCAAAACATGAGCTGAAAACAGAGACTGGTGACTTCACAACCCAGCAAGGGGGAATGCGGGAAAAACCAGTTCCTGCTGCATTTGCATATGCTGAAACTCAGCTTCATCCCCCCATCTCACGCATTTGGTCATTTCAGTGTTTGAATGTTCTAGATTAACCAAACTGACTTTAACTATCATGTTTGATATCATTTGAAATGTCTCAGTGTGATTGGTACAATGGTCTCATTCTCTCAGAAACAGACATAATCAAAACAATAAATATATAACTTCAGGCATCTTTTGAACCACTGTGAAGGGTGTGACTTTCCACTAAGTGTGAATGCCTTTTGTTATTCACACCCCCTTCCTTGAGGGAATTCTTGGATTATTTAAGGTAAGGTCTGAGAAAGGCCCAGCGCGATTCTGCCTACCCTGATCAGCCCATAACATGGAGCCTAGGCTCCACGTTATGTAAAATTTACACGTTATGTAAAAGGTCAGGTATGCATCTTTTCATCTTGGATTTATCTTTGATAATTTGATGTTTTGTATTGATCGTTTATGAATTGACTGATTGAATTGGCATAATACATTTACCTGACTAATAAATTGTTATGTTTTGAATGATTCAAACAGAGTTCGTGTTATTATCTTTAGTAGATTGTGGTAATTTCATAGCACCACAAGCCCCTGTTCAGGTTAGTAGCGGACTAGGACACGGTAGACGGAGCATTTCGGCACGCTATACGATGTCTCTAGAGCTCAGACTAACAAATTGGCATTTATTCATGTATACTTAGGCTGTAAAAGGATATCTAAGGGGATAGTCCTTCACCCGATAAACTTATAATACTATTTAGATAGTATAGTGATTATTCAAAGTTACTACTAGTTTAAGTACGACTGGTCTGCTTAATTCTATAGTAATGATCGTTATATGACTAAATAGCTCTGTCTGATTTAGGAGGTAGCAGACCTATGGGGACCGCATAAAAAATATCCTAATCTGAGTAAGTAGGGTTCTGCCTTTTTAGGATAGCGGTCAATCGCCACTGTTTAGTGACCAAGACTGACATGCTTGTGCTTAAGAAATTGTATACTCGGCCGGTACAAGATTCAGGATGTTATAGGAATCCCAATGAACGAGAATAACATAAAATGATGAACCGAAGAGAATATTCAATCATAATCTAAATTAATGTGAACGGAAACAAAATAACCTTCTCAATGTTTTATAATTGGAGTCAGATAAAACGAGGATAAATATATTAATATTCTAAACCACCTCATACTAAAATTGGAGTCAGATATGAGTTAAGTTTAATATAAATCAACATTGTGCACTGGAAAGACCGAACAGGCAGTGAACCTTCATCCACCAGTGGATACTGTCATTGGACCAACTGGCTGGACCCTACAACTGCATGAAATGCTATTGGGTCGACCCCATTTCTAATGCATTGGAAAGAAGTTTGGTCTTTTATGAGGAAACTAACTGCCATGTGCAACGCGATATCTGTACAGGAAACCAGAAAGGACCAGAAGGAGATTAATCCGGTGATCGAGTATATCTGAGGTGTTCTGGAGAAAGTGGAGTGAAATCAGGAGAAATGGACCTTATGCCAAGGTTGCCAAAGGGGATGCCATCAATTGGGTACCATCGGAGAGACTGCACAAGGGTGCCAAAGGAAAAAACTCCAGCAAGAGAAAGTTAACAGGAAACAGAGGAGGCAGAAAATCCCAAAGCTCAAACCAACGAGGTGCAAAGTGTGGCAGAAGGAGTTTATCAGAACAGTTAAAAGAATAATTCTGATTATTTACCTGATTGAGAAATACAGAAGATGCCACAAGTTCAAGTGATGATAATCACCACAACTTCAGGTTGCAGACTCTCAACATAAAGTCTCTATCAACACTTTTTAAGGCCAGAACGAAACAAAGAATGCTCGCAAGTATGTGCCAGATTTAGGGTCAAAAAGATGAACTAGTGCTAAAAATTTTGATAGTTTAGAAGAATAGGAATGAATAGGATCCATGCCTTGGGTGTTAAGTGCTAGTCAACCTCTACCCCAAAACGGCGGCTCTCTACGATACGCAAAGTATCTGGGCTGAAGATCAACGTACTCTACTGATTATGTGTGTGGGTGTTAGATTAGTATATTATGTTGTGACCATATATTGGGAGATTGTGTATGTTTATTTTTTATTTTATTTTAGTATTTTAATTTTATTCTTTACTGTGTGTTAAATAACCATGACCCCCAGAAGCAAGTGTATAACCACCTGTATGCTTAAAACCTTACCTCTTATGATAACAACAAAATAGAATCGAGTCTTTTACTGTGTCCTCGTCAATAGTGGGCACAGAAGTTTGGCTCGGTTTTATTCCAAAGTGCAATTACATGATCTGGTCATTTGTAATAATACTGTGACATATATTTGTCATTAGGTAGTATGGCTGAGGGCTAGGTCATGGAGTTGCACTATGGGCCAAAAGCAAGAATATTAAGACTTAAAGTCTTAAGAGGAGGGATTATATGAGGTGGATTTTATACTCTTTAAAGTGTGAAGTTAATCTATATATTCAAATTGTATGTGTATAATCTGCTTGTAGACTTGCATACCATTAAAAGAATTAAGGTGCTATGTAGAAAGGGTCATAAAAAGAAGTGGATGAGAAGAGAGCGGGACAAAGCCTGAGTAAACAACTAATGTGTCTCAGGAAATGGATAAGAATAGAGCAACACATGTGTAAACAGATGACAGAGGTGGAATTCAAGGGTTAAACTAGGAGGGATCTTTTGTGACATATGTACAACAAAGGAAAAAACAGAGTATTTAAGGAGGGCAGAAGATGAGTGAGACAGAATTTTTCAGACAGAGACGCTACTGGGGGTCTCCTTTGTTGTTGACAATAAAGTATATTCTTCTGATATTCATAACCTCCAGACTGAGTTTGATTTAGTAAGAGAAAAACCAAGAAAACCACTACAATCTAAGCCATAATTCTTTGCTACCTGGGTAGTTTAGCATGTTTGCAGGTGATGTGTGTGTTTTATCTCTGAGGAATATAATAAATGATTCTTTAACTCACATATTTGTTTGTTGACAATATTTCTGTTTATTTATTGATTGCTACTTCTTTCTGTATTTATAATGTATTGGTTCAATATATTATCTTGTCACACAAATATTCCACTTGATAAGCTTGAAAGAAATATGGTGTGTGCAAGCAGGAAATCATGCAAAGTATGAAATTAATCAGTTCATATTGTTGATTGAGAAAACCATCGAATGTTAACCCTTTTATGGTCAGACGATAGAAAAAATAAATACATAATCACGTGGCAGTTTTTCCATTACACAATTTACAGTGTTTGTGTAGGCAGTTCTTTTCTGAGGATCATGACTAAGAACAGTAACATAAGAGGAAGTACAATCAATTGCAGAAGATTGCCAAAAGCAGAAAATGGCTGCTAAGCGTCACATGTGTCTGATGATTCTCTTCTTATTTCTAACAGGTAAGCACATTTGTAAAACTTTTTAAAAATCTGTGCACAAACATTTTTTAAAATAAAAGGAACTTCTTATTTAATTACTCCCAAGCTAAGACTAAATACATATTTTTGCAAACATTTAATCTCTGAAATATTATACTGTTTACTACCTTATTACAGAATGCAACAATAAGTGCTTTGATATTTACAGCTTGGAGAAAAATCCTTGAATTTTTAAAAGAACCATATTTATTGAAGCTGCATGAGTGAATTTGTGTTATAAAGTGAACAGAACTATTATATAAGAATATATTCCTGTTTAAATTATGTTAGCCCAGTCTTAATTTCTGCCTGAAACAATTAAAATATTTAATTTTAGACACAATTTGTATAAGTGTAAACTATAAAGGAACCTGGTGTCATTAAAGATTAAACTGGATTTTTACACTTCCTCTTTTAATGTATTTTTAAGTGGTAAGACACGATCTCTTAAAATTGCAGTTTTTTTAAGGTACCAGTGCAGCAGAAGACACTCATGTGTTCTTCAGTTCTGGTGAAAATGTCCGTCTGCCCTGTAATAATGCTCTTTCTGGCTGCACATCAACTACATGGAACTACAACAGACATTCAAAAACGGTTGAACTGGTTGCTGGAGGGTCACTGAAGACAGACATAGAGAGACGTGAGAGACTGAGTCTGGGATCTGACTGCTCTCTGAACATCAAGAAAGCCACAAAAGAAGATTATGGATCTTACATCTGCCAACAATATGTGAATGAACAACAATATGGACCTGATGCACGTGTTTATCTGCAGGCTCTTGATGGTCAGTTTCTGTACAGCACATAATATCCTAAAATAACCTAACGAGTGAATCCATCATTGCATTTTTGTCTTGTTTTGTGTTTTAGTCTCTTCATCACTCTCTCAGACTGAGATCAGAGCAGGCAGATCTGTGACTCTCTACTGTCAGCTGGATCTTTATGCATCCACTTGTGGTGATTTGGTAAATTATGAAGGATATCAGCTGATGTGGGTGAATCAGGCTGGTAAGAATCTGATGACAGACTCCAGATATCAGATATCGGATGTCTTCTCAAGTCGCTGTATGATAACGCTGACAACAACACTCTTAAAGGAAGATCACAACAGAGAATGGAGATGTCAGCTTACTCAGAGAAATCAACTAAAGACCTCAGCCTCATTCACTGTCAAGTACTCAGGTAAATGGTTTTTATAATATCAGTTATTTCAAGAGTTCACACTTAGCTGATAATTGATTATAAAGCGTGTTTAGCATGCTGTCCCGGGAGAGAGCCCTGAGCTCATAAGATCAAGAGCCCGGGGCTCTCTCCCGTTTGCAGGGCAATAAGGGAGCTTGTGCTCAAGCAGATCTTGAGAACTCCCCCCACTGATAAAGCAAAAAGGGGGATTAAGGACTGTTATGAGGGTGTGCTGCTGATTAAAGCTTTTCTATGGTGCTAATTTGATTTAGTCAATTTACTTATGTCGCAAGTTTTTGGACTGAGGGGGGAAACTGGGGAAGACAGGGGACACCCACACAAGCACGGCGAGAACATAGACTCCACACAGAAATGTCAACTGGCCAGGTAAAGACCCAAACCAGTAACGTTCTTGCTGTGAGGCAACAGTGCTAACCACTGAGCCATCGTGCCACCCTATAGAAGAAAAAAAGGGGAGAGAGGGGGTGAAAGGGAGGATTCTTCAAGACAAATATGACTAAGGTAAGAAACTTTGGCTATTTATAATGAGTTAGAAATCGTCTGATTGATGAATCATGCATTAGCTAATGCAGAACCAGCCGTGTCAGTCATGAGCATGTGATTCTCTCGAAATTAGTTTATAAATAAACTTTGATGATGAAGTATTAAAATATATTTTAATACTTCATCATCAAAGTTTATTTGATTATATTCTACAGTATGACATGTCTGAACATTTTAATCACAGGTCAAACTGAGGCAAAGACACAAACTCCAGTCGGCAACTCAGAGACCACTGAAAATACACCAGTAACTTCTTCACAACCAGGTACATACTCAACTGTCTTAAGACATGAGGAGTTTATGTTAGATACCATAGTTTTACATCTAAATCTTTTATAACAATAATAAGTGTTTCCCCTTTGATTTTTTTATCTGCTTGAATCAGTCTGGGTATTCTCCTCTGACCTCTGATATGACATTTTCTTTCAACACAACTGCTGTTCTCTTGACTATTAATTTATTTACTAAGAATTTTCTATAAACCCTAAAGATTAACCATCCTCTCATGGCCCAACAACCCAGCCACACTAAAGGTCACTCAGAGGACAGATGATTGGTCTACATTCTGATTCTTGAAGTGAACTTCAGCTGATTGTCCTAAAACTAGATTTAAGGTCACTACAGTTTGGACAATAAGCTATCAGTAGCCCAATGATATTCATGGATTAAAATGTGACTTTTCTTTTTCCCATCTTTAGTAGCATCAACTACAACAACAGCAGCACTGATTCCAATTGCTACAACAAACTCTGTGATGACAAGTAGTCAAGTACCAAGACCGCTAGATGATAAAGGCATGTGTCCCATATATTTTTGCAAACTCTCCTTCATATAGGACATATATCACTTTCCTGATATATGACCTATTACACGATTCAAAAAGTTGTGATTTGTGTAGATCAATGGGTACATCCATTGATTTACTGTAGCACTGCACAATTATGGACTCAATTTTATTAAACACACATTCTTAAAAGTTAAACATTTAGAAAGTGTAAATTATGTTCCATAGCATTTACAAAAATCAAAAAAGTACATTTTGTGAACTGAAGATAGAAAAAAGTGAATGAAAAGTCCACAAAATGCATTTCTATAAACCTTCATTTTGATTGGTAATGCCAGTCACTACATTAATTTTATTTTATGTCAGCTGGATTGTGCTTAACTTTATAGAGCCCCTATTATACATTAAAAAGGGTCATATTTTGGTTTTAATGGTCTTCAATAACCTGCTGATAAGTATACAAGGTCGAAAAACACTTTCATGGTCTTTTAATCTGCATTTATTTTTACCTAATTATCCCAGCGACCACCATATGAATCGTTCAGTGATTTATTTGCTCCCAAACCCGATGGGACCGATGACAGCCTGTTGTGATTGGTCGACAGCATTTAGTATGAGACAGAGTGAAATGCCCAGCACGGCTTATCAACAATATTGAAGTAATCAGAGTGCATAGTGGGTGTGTGAGCATACCTGCCAACACTCCTGTTTTGTCTGGGAGTCTCCTGTATTTCAGACTCATCTCCAGCCACCCACCCATATTTATCCTGAAAAACTCCTGGGGCCTCATGTATCAACGCTGCGTACGCACAAAAACTTTGCGTACGCCAGGTTTCACGCTCAGAATCGCTCACGTTTGGATTTACTAACAATGAACTGAACGTGGGAATGTGCGCAGCTTCACGGCAGCTTTCTCGTGATAAATAGTTAACCAAATCTGATATGTAGCGGGGGAAAAAACAAGAAAGAATTCATCAGACGCTGGATTCGAGCCGAGTTCATGCTCGAACGTATCAATTTATGATCACAAGCGTCTTACGAGCGCGCCACTAAGACTGTTAAGCATCCTGCAACATTTTACAGATATAAACCACACTATTTCTTTTTTTTTTTAATTCACTCAGTGCGATGTTCAGACCCAACTGTGTTGACCGCATCAGCTAAACTCTCCCACTCTATTTTTTTCTTTTGTTGTTAATTCCGGAGAACAAACTTGCAAATAACACCGCTTTTCCTCCGGTCTGCCTCCGAAAGCAGCACCTCCAATTCACATTCTGTTCAAAGTTTCTCTTTTTGCTTGCTTTTGCCATTGCTTTTTCGTTGGGTTTTGCCATTAGCATAGTCATTAGCATATTCATACGGGGGAGGAGGCAGGGAGGGGTTTTGTGCTCGTGCATGTTGCGCTCAGTTTCACGTTCATTCAGATGTACAAAAGAATATGCGTGAGATTCGGCGTACGCAGTGTTTCATACATCTGAATTTTTTTCTGCGTACGCACATTTACAGCTTTGTGCGTACGCAATGTTTTAGTAAGATTTCCACGCAAGTCTTCGTACATGAGGCCCCTGGTCCTCAGCATTTTGATATGTTCTTTGAAACCTCTGGGTCGCCAACATTGGTATGGGATCCGATCGCAGCAGCCACCCGAGACATGTTTCATTAGTTACTAACACCATAGTACACAGTACCCTGTTGTAGGGCGACGTGATTGCCCGCTCCTAGATCGCCAGTTCAGCTTGCTCCAGCCCTGAGTGTTATTCAAACACCTCACCTCAAACCTAACCCCCCGGTCTCCCAGATTTTCAGGGACAGTTGTTGGCAGGTATGTGTGTGCAGTTAAACACCAGCCTATTGCTCTATTCTTTACCATGGCACGCATTCAGTGTTAATCCACACAGCGGCAAAAGCTGAACTATTCTGAACCTTGACCGCTGCACTTGTGTAAGAACAGCTGACAGTGGCCATGGTATTGACAAATGGCAGTGGAACGTTAGCTCAAAAATGCATTTAAATCTGTAAACAAAGCAGCACGGGTCACGTTTTTTAACGTGGCATTACGCCTGTTTCACACCGCAAGCGTCAGCGGCGCGTGAGCAGAGCATGAGCAGCGCGTGTGTTTTCGGCGTCCATGTTAACAGATTAGAGCTTTCATACCGCACGCAGCAGCAGCGCGTCAGAGCGAGGCGTGAGCGTCGCCGAAGCAGCAGTGCAGCGATAGTTTCGGCGCTGGGTCTATTTTTGACGCGCTGCTCACGCTCAATTAAAGTGACAGTGCATTGATAATGACCAAAACACATTGAATGACAGTAAAAAGTAGCAATTTTACCCAATAAATGCCCAATTAATAATGTCAAATGGTTTATATATAGTCATTCAAATTCACTTAAAACGATTTAAAACGGCTACAAACATTTATTTAGGCCCGAACTACAAAACCAAATGTAAAACAATTTTAGTATCAGTTTTGCTTAAGTTGCACACTAGTGTTATAGGAGAGGGGAAATAGAATATTTACGGGAATTGTAGTCCATAGCGAAGTGTATTGTGGGTAGTGTAGTTCGACACGCATGCTGGATGATGTGAGCTCGCTGTGTTCTGTGCAGCTGAGCAGAGGAAGAAAGTTTAATCGGCTTTGTTTTATGTTCACTCGAGTTATTCCTACCGGGAGCTGTTTGCACAAATTGCACTCTGAATCTGACAACACGAAAATAAGTAAAAGAATGGCATGCATTGGTTACTTTTGTCCGTCTCATCAACTGCACGAGCATGAATTAACGAGCTGTTTTTCTGCCGCTGGACATCACTGAAGCGGAGAAATTAACACTAGTTTGATCATGTATAAATATCATTATAACTATATTGTATAAATATAATTATAACTAGGTCTACAGCAACCTGATAATAAAAAAACAAATGACATGATATCAAAGGCGATTGTCTTCTGACTGTAGACACTTCTCATATAAGTTAGATTGAGAAGCATACAGTACTATTTGATCTATAGAATTTGTAAAATAAACATTTGCCGGTTAAAGAAACAGCATAGGAGGGGCCTTGGTGCTGATGAAAAGTTTAAAAAATTTATTTGTATATAGAGAGACATGGGTAATTAGATAGAATAGACAGAGATAGGTTGATCTCTGCAGCAGCTGCCGAAGAGCTGCGCGCTGCAGACGCAGCTGGTGTGAAAGGCAAACGCCTGCGTGCTGCTACTGCTCGACATACGCGCTGCTCACGCTCTGCTCATGCGCCGATGACGCTTGCGGTGTGAAACAGGCGTTAGACTTGATATGAGAATACGAAGAGTTAACCTGATACAGTATAATCGGTTACAAGTAACAAAACACAATTAAATACATAATTTGCAAGCTAGAGAAAACAAGGAGGCAACCATGGTAAAGCACTTACAAAATGGAGGAAGAAACTGATCTACGAAGCACTGATCCATGTTCTGACATAGTCCATTACATCAATAGTTTTTTCCTGATCCTTCCTTTAACAAACAGCTGACGAATGCCCCGTTGTAAGTGTGTAGGTTCCAGAAGCACTTGAACTGCACAAGGCTGGGCTATAATGCTGAGGTCTTTTTGCAAAAATAAACCTCAACCACTGGCTTTACAGTTTCATCTTTGGGTAGAGAAAATAACTTTCCCTCACACTTCCAATAATATCCAGCAGAACATTCCACATGACAATTCATGACAATTCAACCGATATCTGCTACAGTGCTTGTCTTCCTTTTTTTCTTTGCTACTGTTTGTGGGCAGGGCTGCAGGTTTAAATTTGCGCATGCAACAATCGTGCGGGGCTTGACTTCACTTCACTTCACTTCACTAAGGCCCCGTTTAGACTAATGCATTTTCGTTTTAAAACGCATAAGTTTTGCTACGGTTACGCCATCCGTCCACACTACACCGGAGTTCTCGAGCGCGAAAACGGTACCGGAAGGCAGTACTGTAAACAACAACATGGACAAAGAAATGGAAGCATTGTTTGCACTATTGTCTGTTTTACCTGCCATTGTGCAGTTATTCATTTGTTACGTTTAGTAACAACTTGACCTCGTCGTCTGTCCACAAAAATACCTCTCTTGCTTTCTTTGCCATCGCGTTTATTGTTCAACCGGCATTTGTTGACTAACAATAACCAAATGCCGAGCGAGACACATGCTTCCTGTTTATACTAGAACACGCATGCCCAGAGTGCACGAATGGTCAAGTGATATACGTTTTTGGTGGCATAGTGTGGACGGAGACACGTTCAGAAACGCTAGGGGAAACGCTAGTGTGGACGCAGATCATTTTAGATCTAAAACACCATTTTAAAACTAAAACGCACTAGTGTAAACGGGGCCTTAGAGCTGTGTTACACACTACATGGAAGGTCATTCTCAAAAACCCATAATAGGGGCTCTTTAATGTGACTCTTTTATGCCATATAAAATGTTCCTTAAGATCATCTTGTTTCTCAAGTCTTAAACTATAAATTTTAAGATTTGTTCTTTATAAACCTCTGCTTTCTGAGAGCCTGCACTCTGATTGGCCAGATGGCCCAGTCTGTTGTTATTGGTCAACTTATAGTGTGTATTGGGGGAAAAACACTCATTACCATATATGACAAGTACTTCCCTCTCAGTGATTGTAACAGCTGTACTCAGTATTATGATAATATTTGGAAAGCCCATATTTAATTTAAACTATAAAAAGTATGCAGTTGGGGACCATTTCAGCTATAATCTCTGACTTCATGAGCTTTCTGTAAACCTATCATTTTCCACAAGTATGAACTTTCTTAATGCTAAATATTGACATATCTGCAATTAAATGTCATTTGTAAGTTATTCTATCATTAATGCTGGTCTAAGTGTGTCTCTCTATAGTTTCTCCCTCAGTGATTGCAGTTGCTGTTATTTTGACTGTATTGTTTGTTCTGATGATTGTCATTGTTATCTGGATGAGATGTCAAAGAAGAGCTGGTAAGTCTTCAGAGATTCTGCAATATTTGAACAATAAATAATCGACACATTACACGTTTAATGGTTTACACACTGACCCATCAGTTTCTAAGTACATCATAGAAATCTTCATTTGATTATATGAGATAAAAAAAGTTTAGCTGCTTTTTTTTTTACAGTAAAGTTTGTTGATTTGAAAACTGTAACTTCAAACTTTGATTAAAAAAAAACATACATTTAAATTTAATTTGCATTAATGAGATGTTGTTTTAATTGTGTGGTTTACTGTAAATATTTTATTACATGTTGCAATATTATTTTTCAGACAATGCAAAAGAGACTAATGAGCCTGGGGTGAGTATTATAAAGTCAAAGACTTGTGAGGTTCATACTCTGTTATATGTGGACTCAGATTAAACAACAAGTAAGAATAATTGTACTGTTTCTTATCTAAAGGTCACAGATACAAACACAAGTTACAAAGAAACAATCAACGTGCCCAGTCATCCCTCTCCCAACATTAATGTAAGTAATAATTTACCTTTATTAAACTGATTTCCATTTGGTCAGGCACATTGTATCACTTGTTACATACTAACCAAATAATCAGACAAATATGCAAATACTTGTTTAGTAGTTTCTGCTCAATAGCTTGTACAGTTTAATTGTGGCGCTTTTACTTCACTGATTTAAAAAATATATATACTATTGACAAAAGTACACAAAGTAACTCTTTACATTTGGCAGTGGCTCAGTGATTAGCACTGTCGCCTCACAGCAAGAAGGTTGCAGGTTGCTCCGGTTTCCCCCACAGTCCAAAGACATGCAGTATAGGTGAATTGAATAAACTAAAATTGGCCGTATAGTGTATGTTCGTGAACAGTGGCAGCTTAAATGGCACCTTGGGCGAATAACCCCATATACGCCCCTTAACCCCAAAACCATCTAGTTAAACATGTACATTTTAAACAAAAAAAAATTATTTTGACCAAACTTTGGGTAAAATATGGACAAAACCAGATATGGGATTATTAAAAATAAATAAAATTATCATTAAAATTATTATTATACAATTAATATTATAAATAAATAACAGAAAACAATCCCAAATGTAACTGGAAAACAATTTAAAGACACAACTGGAGTGATAGAGTGATACACTATAGACAATCCGGCCTACCCAATTCACCTGTACCGCAAGTCTTTAGATTGTGGGGGAAACCGGAGCACCTGGAGGAAACCCACGCGAACATAGGGAGAACATGCAAACTCCACACAGAAATGCCAACTGAGCCGAGGCTCAAACAGCGACCTTCTTGCTGTGAGGCGACAGCACTATCTACTGCGGCACTCCCTCGCCCATAGGAATATTGATTATGACAATTCTATAGAATACAAAAAAAATGTTTTATATAATTATCTGTTCATCTTTGACCCGACTCAAGGTCGAGAATTTATATTAAGTCTTACCTCCCTGATTCTATCTCTTCTTTCTGCTTCATAGCCATGCATAGTCAAAATTAGATCATCATCATATTATAAGCTTCAGTTTTGTTAACTTGCAAAATTTGCTGTGTGACGACACCTCGTGTCATATAAGTAAAAGAAAAGGCCTTTACTCCAGTTAAACATAACAATATAAACTATCACAGTAGCCATATAAGTAATGTGCCACCTGATATTATAAGCTGTCACTCACTTTTGCAATAAAATACATACATGTGTGCTGTAGTCTATAAAAACACTGTTAAAATGAGGCCAAAGGATTATAGGGTTGTTCTAATTGTTTTAGTAAACTATATCACACACATTCATTTTTTCTTGCAAAAGTGTGACACTGAACTATTCAGAATAACCTTATGATTCTGTGGTTTTAGGTGACAAGAGGCTGCTCTGGTATTCAGGTAGCAGTGGTAGTAGAATGTATCCAGTTAAGCGTTGCTCTTCCACTGAAAAACTACATAGTGTTACATTTTAAGATATAAAAATAGCCATGTTGAAATAAATCACAATGGTAAAACTGCTACAGAATTCCAGAACCTGGTTAACAGCACTGTTTATTTTAAATATACAGTAAATAACCAAAAACTGACCATGACACTCCACCTTTTATGCTTTTTTCTTGATTGACACTTTTATGTTATTTTTGTTTTACTAATCAGTTATGTACATTACGGTTTCATGATTGATGTATTTTAATCTTATTAATCTAATTCTGATAAATAATGTTTATTGCATTGCTTTAATTTGTGTTATCATGATAGAGTTTAGTAGCTGTGTGGATAACACCAAGCATCTTTGAATATTTTTCTGCTTATAAGAAAGCAGGTTGTTCATCATATCTCTTTCTCACGCCCATATGCTTATGAGTTTGTTTTTATCTGTGTATCAATGTTATAATAATAATAATAATAATAATAATAATAATAATAATAATAATAATAATAATAATAATATAATTTATATTTATATAGCGCCTTTAAAACTAGCATCTCAAGGCTCAGACATATAAAATGTGCAGCAGTAAAAGATACAATCAATTTTATTATTAATAGTAGTACTTCTAAACATTGGTGTATTAAACTCTAAATTAATGAAATATGGTAGTTTACTGTACAATTTTGAAATTTCTTTTACATATTTTTAATGGTAAAATTCTGCCAATGACAGCTACGATTTTTACAGTAAATTTTATGGATTTTTTTTTAAGTCTACAGATTGACAGTGATTAAAAATCACCAATATTTATGTATATAAATGATTACAGTACTTCACAAAGTAATGATGGATAGGTCTTTCCTAACTCAGTTACTCATTTTCCAATGCTGTTTAGGAGCAGAAAGATGATGCGAATTATTCAGAGGTTGTCACATACTGTAAACTTCAAGCCAACAAGGTGAGTAAACACTTCTCATTCTCCATCCAGAACATTGCATACCTGTAACCATTTTATTCTTAAATACGGTTTGTAATGTAAATAAAACTAATGAAATGTTGTAACATTTGTATGTTAACAGTACCACCTTGTTTGTGTTATTACTGCAGGTGAATGATACAGTGACTTATTCTTCCATCCGAGGAGAAAAGGCTAAAGCACAGGAAAACTGTAGTGAACTTTATGCCTCGGTTAACAAGATCAGACATTAATGATAAAAAAAGTTTCATAAAAGTTTAATAAGAGTATCATACCATTGTATATACTGTTTTATATGATCAAATCTAGGTGTTGTTTTTTTTTTATTATCAGTCTTTTGGCTTGTATCATGTTTGTATCATGAATAGATGTACAACGTCATTTGGAGTACAGTTTTAGATCAATATCCTCTTTAATGGCTAAAGCTGAAAGACTTGTTCCTCCTAACAAAAACTAGCTAGAGGAACTTTGAGAAGACAAATAAACCTCTGTGACAACAAGATCTGCAGTGTCAGCTGAACAATTTCCAATTTCCAGTGATTGCTTAAATACAATTACCAGTCGACAAATTTCACATCAATCTATTTATAGGTGTTAAGATTCAGTTCAACTAGTGAAACATTTGCCAGAATTATTATTATTTTTAAATTGTGACAGCAGATAGACATTTTGTTCTGCTTTAGGAGTCGAAAGAAATCTTGAGTTATTTTTGTTTTAGGAACCATATTATAGTGTTGTGTTCTCATATATACAACCCCAAATCTGTATGTCTGCAGTTCTTGCCTATCTCCAATATAGAATGTGTGTCACATTTTAAAGCGCAAAGTGCAACACCAAAGACCCTGTACTGTTGCCTACCTAAAGACTTGTTTGCAGGAAAAATGGGACAAAATTACACCTGAAACACTTCATCACTTGGTGTCTTCACTCTTTAAGTGTTGTGAATAGGAATGGCAATATTACAAAGTGGTGAATGCTCTACTGTTATACCTTTTTTTTTTAATGTGTTGAACCAAAATTGGAATACATGTTTACAAACAATAACAATCTTGAGCAACACATTAAGTAATGTGTTGTTGTATTTTCTGCAATGAAATAAAAGTTAAAGTAAGTTTAAACATCACAACTTTCTTTTTATTTGTGTTTTTCATGCTGTCCCAAGTTTTTCTGATTTGAGGTTACTACTATATATAAGAGCGATGTAGTGACGCAGTAGTTAGTGCTGTCGCCTCACAGCAAGAAGGTCGCTGGTTCGAACCTCGGCTCAGATGGCGTTTCTGTGAGGAGTTTGCATGTTCTCCCTGTGTTCGCGTGGATTTCCTCCGGGTGATTTGTTTTTCCCCACAGTCCAAAGACATGTAGTACAGGTGAGTTGGGTAGGCTAAATTGTCCATAGTGTGTGTGTGTGTGTGTGTGTGTGTGTGTGTGTTTCCCAGGGATGAGTTGCGGCTGGAAGGGCATCCGCTGCATAAAAACGTGCTTAATAAGTTGGCGGTTCATTCCACTGTGGTGATCATAGATTAATAAAGGGACTAAGCAGACAAGAAAATAAATGAATATATATGAAGTCAGAATTATTAGCTTTGTTTTATTTCGGCCAGAATAAAAGCTGATTTTTATTTTTTAGAAAACATTTTAAGGTCAAAATTATTAGCCCCTTTAAGCTATATATTTTTATATTTGGGCTGTATGTGATAATGTAATAGGCATCTAAGAATAGCCCCCCCACCCCCCCAAAAAAAATAGACTAGTCATCAAATTAACAGATTAAACAGACTTATGCGTAGTCAGTCATTTCTGTCTATTTGATGACTAGTCTAGTTTTAGGCTAAAGACCTATTTGATTTTAAATGACAGCCCAAGTTTAGTCTTGTTTAAGCCAAGCTGTTTATGTTTAGACATCTATTAGTCTTCTTTTAAACACACACAAAATGCTTACAGTAGTATTTACTATAAATTACTATATATATTTTGCAGCCCAATCTCACAAGGAATTGTAACTATTTTAAATATTGTCAGAAAATCAGCTAATATGTATGACTTAATTCATATGAAAATAAAAACTCAATGCCTTACCTAACCCTTATTGGAAGATGAGCAAATAGAACTAAAGTGTATCAATGAAACTTTATACATTCATACGAATAAGCCATTAAATCAAAATGTTAAAAAATTGTTATGAAATAGTATTGATTTTTCATTTAAGAATCATTTAAGAATACTTTTTTCCTCTCAAAATATTTTTACATGACATTAAAATGTCCCTTTGTAAAATCATGCTAGGTCTGGTGGAGATGTCTCAATGTCTCTCAACATTGAGATGTCTCTAAATAAGGCAATCACTTTATTTGAAAGTCTAAACATAGAACAGTATACACAGCTGGAGGCAAAATGATTAGCCCTCCTGTGAACTGTGAAGTGCTGTTTAATGGAGAAATTATTAATACATTTTTTAACATTTAATGACTAATTTCTAATGATGGCAGTACAAAACATGCTATTTTTTTCAATACACTAGTAAGTTTAATCTGAATTTATAGCATAAATACAAACACATTCAAAGACAGTAAAATCTGTTTTGGTGTATATGAGCTAAATTTAAAAGTTTTAACAGATTTCAATTATTTAAATGTCTGAAAAATATAATAGCATAAATATTATAGTAATAATAGCTATAAACATAAATTGGATTAATAGCCATAAAAACTAGCATGAGAGTCCACATTCAAAGAATTCAATAGCATGACGCAACTTGTGAAAAGAAAGAAGAGGAAACTGTTTATGTATTATGTGTGGGTGGATCTACTGTGGTCAAACTAACTTGCACTTAAAAGTCACAAGTTTCACAACAATTAAGCCACAGCTTAAAAAACACCCTGGAAAACATATAATTCAACACAATAAGCAAACAGTATAGCAAAACAATCTGCAGCTGTTGTCATAATCATAAAATAAGCAGTACTTTTAAAACAACGATTCTAAACTATTTTATATGATGTAAATATGTCGCCCTGGACCACAAAACCCTAAATTGCACTGGTATATTTTTGGCAATAGGCAAAAATTCTTTTGGTCAAAATTATTTATAGAACCATACAGTAATATGCATGACAAAAAAAATAGGATATTAAGTGAAGATCATGTTTTATGAAGATATTTTGTAAAATTTCTACCATAAATATATACAAATTTTGATTTATGCATGGCTAAAAGAAATGCATGACCGTTTTGAAGCTTATTGCTTAGTATGTAGAATAAAAATCAAACAAACAATTGAAAAACTGATTCCAGATGATTCACATCTTTCTCAGCTACATTTTGTCCTATCCTAACAAACCAAATCAATGGAAAGATTGTTTGTTCCGCTTTCAGAAAAAAATAATAAAAATCACATCCATTTCCATCAAAACATTCATGAATACAATAAGTGAACATAAGAATTGAAAAGGATATTGGCACACAAGAAATTAGATTAGTAATTAATTTCATACAGTTTTATTTATTATATAAAATAAACTACCGGGAGAAATATATAAATATATGTATGTTTTATGCTGATGAATACAGATTTTCTTTATGTTTAAAATATGTATATAGTTTAAACAACTAGCAAAAAAAGAAGTTACTAGAATCAAAGACACAATCTTAAAATTTAACCCAGGACACTTTCAAGAAAAACTGTTTGACCTTGACCTTGTTTACAATCACATTTGAAATTATTTGATTACTTGAATTGATGTTAATGTAATACTAAGACTATTTACACCAAACCTATATAGACAAACACACAAACCTATATACAAAACAATAAAAGTCAACCAATTTTTCATCTATCATGCTTAATGAGAAAGACCAATGGCCTTATCTACCTACAGCTTGTTCCAGTGCAAACCCTCTACTCTGCATTGCTTTTGACCAGTTTTACTATGCATTCAACAAAACTTTAACACAAAATGTTCCTAAAGGCTATAGAAGTTCCAGCTAAGGGCATTTTAAACTAAAATTGATAATTACATATGACAAAGCAATGTGAGACTTGTAAGTTTAAACACAGCAAGGGATTCATTATGTGACATGTCATGTGACAGGAAGCTTGTGGTCCAGTTGTGAATGTGCTCATATGCGTTTGCTGAGGCGGTGGACTGAAGGTAATAAAAATAATTGTATATAATGTTCAGTTTCATAAGCAGACAAATCATTTCACTCCATTAAACCTCAATATATTAAACTGTTACTAATTATTGTAACAATCAATCAGATCACTTCATCAAAAATGTATAATACACATAGAGACTTTTTATTGCACCCAATAACACAACGTTTTGAAATGTACATTATACACTCTATAACTGCAGGATAGTTAATAAAATAAACTACTTTCTTCTGCCGTTCATTTGCAGCTGACGTCAGAAATGTGTTGTTCTGATCAGCTGTGTTGTAGCGCGTGCTCAAGAGCGGTGTTGTCGCGCGCCTACTGAAGGGCGGGGCCGAGGGTGTGCCGCGTCGCGGGGGCACTTTTGATCATTTTGGAAGGGCACTTTCTATCTAGGACTAAAAAGGGCATGTGCACTGCACAGGTTGAGCCCTATGTGTGCACGTGCCTGGTCCCATCTTACACTCAGTATATATGGTATGAATACAGCATTGCGATAGACAAAAGAGAGAGATCGATTCAGAAAGTCACACGTTTAATAATACATACATACAATTAGCTCCATAAATATTCAGACATTGATACAATTCTAACAGTTTTGGATCTATACACCAACAGAATGGATTTGAAATGAAACAAGCAAGATGTGCTTTAACTGTCAGCTTTAGACTTCAGGCTCTAATTGACTGCAAAGGATTTGCAACCAAGTATTAAAAAGTGAAAGTTTGATTCATGATTATTATTCTGTCTCATTACTTTTGGATCCTTAACAAGTGGGAGGCACATATGCAAACTGTTGTTATTCCTACAGCGTTCACCTAATTTGGATGTAAATACTATCAAATTAAAGCTGACAGTCTGCAGTTAAAGCACATCTTTGTTTCATTTCAAATTGATTGTGTTGGTGTATAAAGCCAAAAATGTTAGAATTGTGTCAATGTTCAAATACCATTGGACATAACTGTATATACTGTCCTTCCTATACTCAACACCTTAAATCAACTCTCAGATTTTAATTGTAATCCTTTTGTAAAGCTGCTTTGGAATGATAGTTACTGTAAAAAGCACTTTAGAATTTCATATTGCCTGTAAATCTAATATATAATTCTTCCAAATAACAAAAACCGAAATCTCAATAGTGTTGCAAAAATGCTAATTTGCGGATCATATTAAGTCATGCGATGATTTGCATAACTGGTGATTTGCTTTAAATGTTTATTTCTTCACAGTAGCATAAAGTCCATCCTGAGGTGCACGTTCAGTTTCTCTGATGGTCATGTAAGTCACCGTTTCATTACTACGATCCTGAAAAAACATCATATTCTATTCAGTTAATCTGGAAGTTTCAGCCAATAAGCCATTATTTTCAGTCATGCTGTTCTTCCACAGTTTCAGAGCTACATATCATGACAATATAGACTGAGAGAAGAGGTGTAGATTTTGGAATATGAAAAAACAAATAAATGTAAAAATATACTGTATAAACTCACAGTGTCCAGTTTTACTTGCTTGTTTCCTTTGTTAGAAGAAATAACCTCAGAGTAGGTCACATCATCTTTCTGTTCCTAAACATCAGTGGAAACAATGCAAGTTGATGATAGTATAGAAGAGACATCTGTCACTACACTAATTAAAATAGAGCAAAAGATCTGAATAAATTGGATTGTGGACAGGAAAATAGAAAAATATATTGAAGAACAGTCATTTTGTACTCACATTAGCATTGTGCGCAGAAGGAATGGACATGGGGATTGTTTCATATGCTCCTTCATCGTCCTTCACCTTTAGACATCAAACAGTTAAAACATTACAGTAAACAAACACTAAATGTGTCAACTACACACATTATTGAACTTAAAAGCTAATTAAATCTAATTATCTGGCATCACTGAACTTACCGCAATGTTGATTGTTTTATAGCTTACTTTATGTTGGTTCAGATCTCCGGCCTTAGATAACAAGCTGTTGTAAGTACTTGTGCAAATTACACACTTTATTCAACTGAACAAAATCTAAACATCTGGCAACACATAACTCACATCAGTGTTGGCAGCCCGTCTTAGATTACCTAAAAGAACAATAAGTATTTATTATAAATACTTACTTTTTGTTGTCCCGTTAACTTGATGAAAAATTCTTTGTTAATGAATAAACTTTTAATTGAAAACATCATATTTCAAAAACCCACCAGCTCTTTTTTTGAAGACCACCAAAAACACAGCAACAAAAACCACAGCTAATGCAGCTAACACAGCAGCCACAGCAGCGATCACTGAAGGAGAAATGACATAGAATTTACCTGTTAACTAATTGTAGTTATTAATTAATGATCTAGGCAGTCAAGAGAAAACAGCAACACTTTTTATGAGATTGAAAAACCTAGGACATTTTACAAATGGATTGACAGCAGTGGTTTTGAGCAAAGCTGTTCAAAATGAGCAGACCACACTCAGTGGCTGACTCTTAGAAATTTCACACAGACCTCTGTAGGATTAAGATGTTGAGGACTACTTGATGATTACTGACAGTGTGTGAATTATACATTAACTATTGGTGGTCAACTTTTTTCAGTATAAAATATATGCATGCTGCAATGTTTCTAATGAATATATTTAATTAAATTACCTCTCATCGGGTAAAATTCATTATTTTACCATACACATAATCCTCAAAGATTACGTTTTAATCTAAAATGGTAACTTTTATTAAACCTTAGCTGATATGAATTTATTTTTAATTTTTTTCAAACTAAATTACTCAGCTGAACTTATTTAAAGGTTATCTGCATCAGGTCATGTGACTTAATCATCATTATCTCCCATCAGGTGAAGTTTTTTTCCCTCTCCGCTGTCGCCACTGGCTCGCATGGTTCAGGATTGGTAGAGCAACGCATCAATGAATTGGCTCTTCAGTGTTTGAACTCTCAGTAATGATTAAATCACACTGAACTGAGCTAAACTGAACTGAACTGAACTTAAACACTAAAACCTGAACTACACTGTTCCAGTTACTATGACCATTTATGTGAAGCTGCTTTGACACAATCTACATTGTAAAAGCGATATACAAATAAAGCTGAATTGAATTGAAAAATTGAATCATGTACCTTCTGTTTTATTGTCTGGTGTCACTGCACTGCCTGAATCTGTAAAGAATGAATACAAAAGCATGGTAAGTAGAGAATACATAAAAACATCTCTAGAAACTTGTTAACTCTAAACATATAAATGCCCTTTTCAAGTTAACTAACTCAAATTTTAAACATGTTCAGATAATGATCTGCACATGCACACATGCAATGGAGTTTCATTCCAATAGGCCTTCATTAACCTTGTCTAATGTTCAAACTACATCGACCTGTGACACTATGTGTCAAATTTCAAGATAATTGGACTAATGCTGAGATCACAAAACAAGGTTTTTAAAGTCATTAGATCACAGTCGTTTTCACCCTGTATAAATATAGCAATCAGTTACTTCTGTGTTTACATTGTATGATGGATCAGTGACAGGAGGCTACACACTGCAGAACTTCACTACAGGAAAAATCAACAACAAAAGTGTCTGGTTCGCTGACCAACCAAATGCACATAATAACTCTTTATAAAGAACGCAAGATCACTAGTGAAACCAGAGTTCTCATGCTAGATTGGAAATGGCACCGTCTTGTGGTAGGCTACAACTAAAACAAAACACTGAAAACATGGGTGCTCCTGATATTTATTCAAACTTTTCTCTATTTCTTGTGTCCAAAAAGACTAAGAAGCCTTTCTCTGCACTCAATCCATGTTCTGGCTATTGTGGATTATATCTCCTCCCAAAACTCCCTGTTGTCCTGTATCTTGTTCTCTTTTGACTGTAGGTCATTGCCGATGTGTTCTCTGTCAAAACTCTTTTTACACAGCAGGATTTTGAACCACAGACAGGTTGATATTTAGTTTGCCATTAATTTCAGTTGTCTGCAATTTTCTCTGATCGCATTTTTAATAATTCACACTGAGTGACTGTCACAATAGCATGAAAGAATACAGATTTGCCTTTAGCTTTGGCCATTTGTTGGAGATTACCAACAAATTAATACCTGTCAGCAAGTGAAAATCAGAACTAAAATATAGGTCACAAAGTTTATTTCCAACCTGCTCCTATAAAAGTTCAAAGCTTCAACCTGGACCCAAACACACCTGAATCACCTTATCAAGTGTCCAAGACTATTTAATTACAAAGAGTGTGTAAATTATACATTAACAATTAGGGGTCTACTTTTTTTTTGTATAGTTAAAAAAAATGCATGCTTCAGTACTGTATATCAAATTCAGATATTTAGTTCAAATACATCTCACTTGTGTTAAACTGGTTATTTTAACATACACGTGATCTTCAAAAATTATATTTTTGTATAACATGGATAGAAAATTTTGCTAAATTGTGACAAGTTTAGGTTTAAGCATTTAAAAATAGATTTTTTTTTTTGCTATTTTCAGCTATTTTTTTTAGGGTTGAGAACTTGTTAAGGATTTTTAATGTTAAAATAGGGGTCTTCTGGAAAAAAAAGTGGGAAATAGGGAGTAAAGAATGAGGTTATTGGGAGATTTCAGATTCAGCATTTTGATTGTAGTAGCGCCCCTTGTTTAGTCTTTGCCAGATTTTGCGCAAACTAAATTACTGAGCTGAACTTATTTAAAGCTTATCTGATCAGGTCAGGTCATCAGGTCATCTGATATAATAATAATAATAACAAGTTATTATTTAATTATTTATCTTTGGGTTGACTTTTTTGATGCCTTGTGCTCTAACATTAGGATTTCCCCCCCAATAAATGAAATATTCATTTTCTGGAGATTTATTTAAGGCAGATCAGCTGCATCAGGTCATGTGGCTTAATCATCATCATTATTTACCTTGTGCTGGTTTCACTGTTGTTGTTGCATTAGAAGCTGTAAAGAATGAATGCAAAAGCAAGTAAGTAGCAAATACTGTATAAACTTGTTAACTTTAAATCTTTTTTTTTTTTTTAAAGTAACTCACACAATACACAAGTACTGGACCTTGTGCCCCCTTTATATCAAACTGCACAAGCTATTGTGTATCAATACCTTAAAGAAATATAAATATTATTATAAATAAATAATGTTGTTCTAAATAATTACACTTTTTTTTCAAGATATCTTTATAAAAGTGCACATTTTTGTGTTGGTAGGCCTATGTAAGTTAACCTATTGCTATTTATGTTATAACAATTAATTCAGTTATATATATTATATATTAATGTCCAAAATTCGACACAATAACACTACTTTCTCTAATAATATTTACAAGTTACCAAATGTTTAAGTATTATGTCAAATTGAATACAAATTGTCAGCATTAAATTTGATTAAATACAGAGTATTAAATACACAGATCCAGTAAAACTGTTCATGCAGTTTATTTGCATAAATATACTCAAATCTTTCAGGTTTACCGCAGGTTAGTAACAGTATGCATGTATGTGCTTATATAACAGTCAGAGCGACTATTATTTTGAACTTGTCACAGGTATGTACATAGTCAAGCATTATATTTTACCATCAAAGCTTTTCAGCCTATATTCAAACTAACCACAAACTATATGCCACCGGTGTTGTTAATCCTACAAAAGTTGAGTTTAATCATCACATTACAAATACAGGAGTTAAAAAATACTTGCTAAGTTTCAATTCCTTTTTAATCAGAGCATTTTTGAAGAGCTGCTTTGACATATTTGAATCTGCTTTGACAGATTATTTGTGTCAGACCGAAAGCATCTATAGACTCATTGGTATAGGTGCTGATTATGTCAATAATCTTTTCCATTAAGGGTTATTTAAACTGATATATATAGTTTTTTCACCTGTGTACTTGACAGTAAATGAGGCTGAGGTCTTCAGTTGATTGTTCTGAGTAAGCTGACATCTCCACTCTTTGTTGTGATCTTCATTCAGGAGTGTTGTAGTCAGACTGATCATACAGGGACTTGAGGAGAATATCTTATATCTGTTGTCTGTCACCAGATTCCTTTCAGCCTGATTCACCCACACCAGATATCCTTCAGTACGGAACAAAGTATCACAAGAGACTCCAGAATACTCCAGTTTACATTTGAGAGTCACAGATCTGCCTGCTCTCATCTCAGTCTGAGAGAGTGATGAAGAGACTGAAACAAAGCAAGATTTCACTCCTATAATTACACGCCAGTTTGAAGGAAGAATAAGGTTTTTTAAAATTACTATTAAGATTACCATTTAGAACAGTCAGATAAAAAAGCACATAATTTCCTTGTTGTTCTCCATTCACATATTGTTGGCAGATGTAAGATCCATAATCTTCTTTTGTGGCGTTCATGATGTTCAGAGAGCAGTCAGAGCCCACACTCAGTCTCTCACGTCTCTTTATGTCTGTCTTCAGTGACCCTCCAGCAACCAATTCAACCGTCTTTGAATGTCTGTTATAGTTCCATGTAGTTGATGTGCAGCCAGAAAGAGCATTTTTACAGGGCAGATTGACATTTTCACCGGATGTGAAGAACACAATGTCTTCTGCGCCGATGGTTCCTGAAACAAACGTGATGTTGCTATACTGTGTAGAATTCAACAAACGCTTAATGAAAATTAATAATCAGCAGATTACTGTATGACACTATATTTGTGAATTCATTAGCAAAAGTTTAAACTAAATGTTACAAAACATTCAACAGCATTTTATATTATCATTTACCTTTGAGAAGTGAACAGTAAATCATTAGTCCCAGCTGCAAACATACGTGACCCTTATCAGTCATTTTACAATCCATTTCTGTGTTTTTTTCTGTTTTAGCGTTCACAACTCTTTCCTCAATCTTCAACCCTTCATTGAGTAACTTCCTCTTATCTGACCCACTGGTTAACTCCTGCTAGAGTTGCTATATAGTGACTCAGTGACAGCACAGAATGCAAGTGCTTCACATATATTGTAAATGCGTATCATTAATATTTGTAAGTCATGCTTAAAAGTAACTCATAATGCACTTTAAGTAGAAATTCTTTCAGACAAACTTTTGGTTGTGCCCAAACTTTTCTGTTACACCCTCAATATTTCACACCTTAACAGAGACAACTTTTAGCAATTGCAGATTGTGAAATATTCTTCAGCATGGGAATTCACACTTTATCTTAACCCACACATGGACAGCTACTATTTGTACAATTATGAGCTCAGGTTTCACTTATATCTTTAAACCATTCCCTTCCTGCAAATAGTTCTAAATTACAAATACATCTAGACTGAAAAAAGAATCTGCTAGACAAGCACCCATGATTTAAAAAAAGTTAATTTTATAGTTATTAATGTATTACATTCCACTTTGGCCAAACAAAAAGAGCTCATTTAAATCCTATACTCCTGTAAATTTGGTCTGAAAGAGAAAACTCCAGCATGCAAAAAAAGGTGAGCTGCAAATATAATTGTCCATTCCTCTAAGACACAAATTGTATAGCAAATTACCAGCAATTGCATTTGTTTGTGTGTGTGTTAAAAAGATGTCTAATAGTCATTTGGGCTAACATGAGGCTAAGTTTGAGCAGTCAGTGAAAATCCAATAGATGTATAAGAATAGCCCAAAATCGTCATCAAATGCACAGTGATGAATGACAACACATGTGAAATCTGTCTAATATATCTATTTCATAACCACGTTAGTTTTGGGCTATTCTGGATGTCTATTAGATTTTCACTGAAAGCTTAAATTTAGCCTGGTTTTAGCAAAGCCACTGATGTTTAGAAGTCCAGTAAAACAAAATTGTTTGCTGGGCTGTGACAAGTATCTAAAGAAGGCTAGAGCAGAGTATAACAATTTCTTGCCAGGAAGAGAAAAATCCTAATCCATTTCAATGACAAATTATTAAAAACAAGTAAAAAGTGAAGGGAACCAACTCAAGGGTTTAATTATGGTAAGGCATTTCTAAATCTGCAATTCAATTTGTTCAAAAGATTTGTTAAAAAAAAGCCAGAATCAAATGAAAACTATGTGTACACCAAACTGTGTACAGCAAACTTTGTGTACACCATTTTGACTGTGTATTTGTCTGTGTCTACATGTGCGTAATGTGTTTTTCTTTACAACATTGCTAATAGTATATTGTTTTGTTTTTGGAGTATGTCATTGTATTTTGCACTGTCTGCTGATGATGATGTGACAATAAAAATGATTTGATTTGATGCAATCACCACACACGGACACTCCACAGATTCAATGTTACGTGTAGAAATAAAAGCCTTCATGTTTGTTTAATTTGTCCATTAAATAAAGTCATTTTTGCATTAAAAGGTGACAATAAAATACAAAGACTTGACTACCCCCCCACACACACAGTGAATAAAGACACTGTGAAAATAAGAAATTAATACTATTTTTAATATGAATGTATTAATTAAGTTTTGAATTACAGAACTCTTCAAGAACCCATAAACCAGACTGAGCCACCAACAACTCCCTTAGCAAGATCTGGGGGTTTGAAGCTTCTGACAATAGATTGTAGAAATATAAACTTTTAATTTTGAAATTGGAAAAAATCAATTAATATACAACCCCAAAGTGACAACATATACTGGGAAATACAAACATTAAAATCAAAGTTAAGTCATGTTCTGAAAAAAGAAAAAAAATTTATCACTTGCATCCTAATAAGATGGAAAATGGTAATAAAATCTTTACGATCTTGCCCTTTTTGCTTTACCCATTCTTCGAACAGATTACAGGCCTAAAGTTAACCGTGTGCACATGATCATCCTATTTATTATCACACACAGTATGTTTTTCACCTGCTGTCTTTTGCTTAGTTATTTTTGATTATACAGTTTAATTATAATTTCTTTTTGGCTTAGTCCTTTTATTCATGACAGGGTCGCCACAGCGGAATGAACCGCCAACTTATGCAGCATATGTTTTACACAGCCGATGCCCTTCCAGCCACAACTCAACACTGGGAAACACCCATACACTCTCAATCACACACACTACAGACAGTTTAGCTTACCCAATTCACTTATACCGCATGTCATTGGACTGTGGAGGAAACTGGAGCAACCGGAGGAAACCCAGGCCAACATGGAGAGAACATGCAAACTCCACACAAAAAATGCCAACTGACCCAGCTGGGGCTAAAACCAGCGACCTTCTTGCTGTGAGGCGATCGAGGTACCCACTGCGCCAACGTGACACTCCTAGTTTAATTATCATCCTTCACAAGAACATTGCTTTAGGGCAGTGGTCACCAAACTTGTTCCTTAAGGGCCGGTGTCCTGCAGATTTTAGCTCCAACCCTAATCAAACAGACCTGAACAAGCTAATTAAGGTCTAACTAGGTATACTTGAAACATCCAGGCAGGTGTGTTGAGGCAAGATGGAGCCAAACCCTGCAGGGACTCCGGCCCTCCAGAACCAGGATTGGTGACCCCTGCTGTAGGGGATTAACTCTTCATTTAAGTGTAGTTAACTGGTGATCTGTGAGCCAGGACGGACGGCTGTACATAGTTTGAGATAAACGGCAATATTTATTTTTTAAATGTCAATTACTTTTTTTTTTTTTTTTTTTTTAAGAAAGGTTTTGTTAAATAAAAAAAGCATGCATACAGCTATATTAGGCTTTTTTGACATTTTAAAAATTTGTGTCTAAGAAATAATTTATTTATTTTTGGTGTGGTCAGAGATAAATTTGGTAAATCCTTAGTGTTGAACTCTAAATAGTCATGTGAAATAAAAATGAGTTGCAATGGCTAAATCAAATAATTTTTAGCGTGTCAAAGTTAAACTTATGCATATAAAATATATTTTCCTAACAACAAAATTCTGGCATGTGAAAATGCTGAGTGGCTAGCAGTGGTGTAAAGTAACAAATTACAAATACTCAAACTAATGCAATTGACTAGATTTTCTCAGAAATTGTAATTTAACAAGTAGTTTTAAAATTGTGTACTTTTACTTTCCCTTGAGTACATTTTTATTGAAGTATTGGTACTTTTACTCCACTACATTCCTTCAACCTGCAGTCACAACTTTTTTATCCTGTCTATGAGGATTAGAAAAATCAGTTCTGTGATTCCTGTATAATTAAATTGCACATAGAAGGTAAATCACATCATAACTAACTACCTCAATACATCTGCAATTTATAACGGTTTGGAAGCGGTATAAGTGTCCAAGAAGATGTCCAAAATCTTTACACGCATTGACTCAGAGGTTTTTTTAGATCCATGTCCCTGATGAGAAGATGATGGATGCTTACTGTGTGATGACTGAAATGGCCTTAAACACCTAGCAGGCACAAGACATCCACATGCAATGAAAATTAGGTTGACATCAGAACCCAATGTCAGGCCAACATCAATGTCCAACGTCCAGCCTAAAATCAACCAAATATCAACGTCTAATGATGTTACAGCTTGAAGTTGTGTGGACGTTACCACTATGACATTTATCAGATGTTGGATTTCGGTTGCCATCCTGACGAATCAATATCAGCATTTTGATGATCAAAAATGTTAAGCCCTGGTCACAGGAAAAAATGACATTTATGGTCTTTGGAGAACTTTAATTCAAATTGTGACAAAAGTACAATTTTGCCTGTTTTCATAAACTTACTGACCAACAAAAGCACATTTACACATTAGCATACAATAACAAAAAACCATGAATAAAATGATAAAAGAAAACACTCGGGTCCTCATTATCAAAACTACATCAGATGTAAAAGAGGACAAATATAACTAAGCAAAACAGAAGGGTGTTGAGACTGATGATTGCATACATGTAAAAAAGAAAAGAAAAAAGAGGGATATTAATGGGAAGGACTGCGTAAACCACAGATAGACATTGTGATAGACACAATGTGCCCATTTAGGGTTTAAGGCGGAACCCTGTGAAGCAGGACATGCTCACGTACACCTATTTTACAAATTCAGTAAGTTCCTGAACAATTTCCCCCTCATTCAGTGTCTGCAGAGTTCTTATCAGTAGCACAGACATCTCTGTACTAATTCAGCTTCCAGGAGCTCCAAGTAAGTGTTCAGTGGCCCAACAGGAGATACCTTTAGTGCATGTGTTCAAGAGTGTGTTACAGCAGTCGTCCTCTGCATTCTGTTGATCCACAGCAGCACAGAAGTTCCTTGCCCTCCACACTGCCTACCTCATAATTATAGTCCCACGTCAGCTCCGTCCCTGCTCGGATTCGCCTGTAAAAACACAAAGGCAAGAGCAGTGTTTACATGCAGCCTGATAATCATTTAATATTCTGACAGTAAAACAGTTCAAACTTAATCAAAAGCCGTTAGTTAAACAACTCAAAGCAGAAACCAAACTTAAATCTAAAGCCTTTACAGCTGGTATTAAGATGTACTTGTCACTTATGTTAAATACAATTTTAAGCAGGGTCTGAAACAGTAGCTATGTTTCCATTAAAAATGTCAATTAAATGTATGCGCAAAACAGTAATTTTGCATAAACGGGACAAAGAGAACAAAATCGTTACTTCCTGATAAACTGGCACCAAAAATCAACAGTAAAACAGAATTTACAGTGATAGGAGACGCTGCGTGAAGCTTTTCCTTATTTAATAAATTTTTTGCACCTCAATAGATGATGCCGACACACAATGAATGCGTGGTGGTGTTTGAAGGTCTGAGATGCGGAGCACAGACGCTCTTGACAGTTCTGGAGGTAATTAATAATATAATAAAACTGATACTGAAATGGTTAAGGCATTTTATAATAACCAAAACAACATTTCAGATGATTTACAATGTGCTGGTTTGTCC